AGCTAAGGGACTTACATCATTCGGCAAGGGGATGAAATATCCCCCTCCAACTAATGACCATGAGTGGGCGCTGCAATGAGATAACTTGGAAGTAAATATCAATGTTGTCCGAGAATAGCGGCGCATGTATACAGGTAAGAAAAGTGATGGGTGGATTTCAACTAGGATCAGCATTGCAGGTTTTGGTTAAAGGATAACGGGTTGAGGTTAAGTGATTGCGGGTTTTGGAAAAAGGTGTACAGTATTGACGGAACCGGTAGAATGTTTTTGACTGTCCAAACAAAGGTATAGTCGTAAATCAGTGAACTAATTACCAAGTGAGCAATAGCAGGGCGATAATGTGAAGCTCTAGCATACTGAGAATTGGGTTTTCGTCTGGGGGTCTGAGAGCATTTTCCTCGTCAAGATGACAGACAGGAATTTTCTTTTCCAAATGCCTGAAGCGATATGCCACGCGATTCGTGGCGAGGCATTGTTTTCGATATTCTAACTGGTTGGCATTGGAAAACGAGCCTGGGAGGACTAAAAAGAATTCATTCACATGCATCAATAGTAACCCAAATGGACGTGATACGGTGAAACCATACTTCTGCGATTGCCTTTTTGTACCAGTGTTTTGGGAAAAAAACCGTGCCTTACACCAAACATTTTGCTGTGGAGTAGACAATGAAAGAATCAAAACACGTGAAGCAGTTTCAGTTTATAGGTGCTACCTGGATTCAAGTGTATTGTATGCGAAATACATTCGTTAACTACGACAAGCACTTTGTGCAATTGTCTTCGCCACCCCACCCACCCCCCATCAACCCATTTTCTCTTCTCTAGCCGTGTTCATGGCCCACGGTCAACCAACTGCATCCGTTTGCCCCGGTCGAACAAACACAAGGCTATGTTGAACTGATAGGTGAACTGGAGCAAGATTTAGCCGAAATCACCGGCTATGATCACGTCTGTCTAACTCCGAACAGCGGTGCACAAGGCGAATACACCGGACTGCGAGCAATCACCGGCTATTTGGCCAGCAAAGGTCAGAGTCAAAGAAAGGTATGCACGTGCCAATGTGAAGCCGATTGTTAGGACGCGTAGAATGAGCAAAACACCGTGATTTTCGAGATTCCTGTTTTGATCATATTAGCTGACAGGGGATGCCCGAATAATGATTTATTTATTTGTTAGATGTTTAAAAATTCATTTAGCCATAATGTTAGTGTAGTGTGTGACATGACGCATTCTTCATCAGATTAGAGGGGGTTAAATACCACTGATCGCTTAGCTGTTGTTCAATCTGGTTTTGGCAACAGGAAAGTTCTAACTGGATGAATGACAAAGAGATCTAAGTGTTGTGTTTACTCCTGGTAACATTTGATTATCAGATATCTGACGATAAGTAATACTGGCCCCTTTGACATCTGATTTTCACTGGTTTCCTATGCTTCGCAATTATCTTGTATTATACAACACTCAGAATATGTTTGGAACTTTGATTTTGTGTGTGATAGTCCTCCCATTGATCCATTGTCGATACTCCAGTAAACTCGTTATCCGAGTCTCGAATCCCTATCCCGAGTGGCGACTGAATCATTGATGAAGAAACAGAAGAATACGATTCGACATGACTCTAGTGATTCCATCAGTTAGGTGTATTCGTCAAACCAAATCAGTGTGTTACTTCCCGATTAAAAAAGGCCTTGGAAGCACCATGCAGCGATTTCAGTCAGTCTGTTTACAATCAGCACATCACTGCGTATCTATTCGATCCCACATTTGACTCAAACCTGGACCCGGTGGAGGGGGAAGGCAAGTTTTTACTACGCACTAACCACTCGGTTAATCAGGGTCATCTTTTCAAAGCTGGTCTTAAGCCAACACCACATGATATCGCACTTTTGTCTATCGTTCATGATCTGTAGCTTGCTTTATTCACCTTAAAGGTCTCTGCACCACTTCGGGAACACCATTCACCAAAATTGTAACAATAGGCTCAGTGTTGATTTAGATAATGGGTGGTGTTAGCCCGGTGGTAATGCCACCGTATTATCACCCTGGTGGACTTGTGTTCCAATCCCATCATCACCGCCTAACTTTCCCCATTCTAGGTTGTATGACAGTCTTTTGGATGGCTTCATCCCCCTTCCTGAATATTGTATCATTATGTATTCAATACGGTAAAGCAAAAATAGAAAAGACACAAATTATTGCATCACTGATAACAATTGCACCATTCCAGATGGTAGTGTCTGTCTCTCGTTCAATCCGATTCCCTTCGGTCAGGTTTGTTTGATTCCAACTTCGGCTCATGGGACGAATCCGGCTAGTGCAAAAATGGCCGGAATGGATGTGCAACCGATCAAGACCACAAAACAGGGTACGTTTGATATAGGTCATCTGAAGGAACAGGTGGATCGATACAAGGATACACTGGGTGCAATCATGATCACCTATCCGAGCACATTTGGTGTGTTTGATACGGAACTGATGGAGACGATCGATCTGGTGCACAAAGCTGGTGGACAGGTGTATCTCGATGGAGCAAATATGAATGCACAGGTGGGTGACTCAACTATGAAATCATTGTTGGTGTTGTTACTGTTTGTGGTGGTTGTGTATTTGTTGTTCCTACTACTGCTGCTGATAATGGTCGCGATATTGGTGCTAGATTTACCTTTATTCTCTTTCATCAGTTTCCCTTTTTTAACTTAAAAATAAACTGTAAATTTGGGTATGCACTGAGCCGTCTCGTAATGCATACCTACTTCGACTACTACATTTATGAAAAGGTGCACAATTATACCTAGTTTCAGTTTTACGCAATTGATCATCGTAATGATAATCTTTTTTTAACCTCAGAACATAATTGAGCTTCTCTACTGACTGTTTGTATGTGTCTAAATCAAATTTTCGGTAATCCCTGTTGGTTATTTTGTTTAAATCAAGACTATGTAGAGCAGTATCGCGGTGAATAGGAGCCCCTTTTGTTCATTTAGATAAGCCGTAACAAGCGAGCCATGTTCCATCCGCCGATTGGTTGGAGGCTAACCATCTGAGGCCCAAACAACAACGTCCGTTCAAGAGAAGAGCATGTGACTTGTGTCTATGGATGTGACCGACAATGTGACTGACGTCATCCTCTTTATCTGCGCACCGGATTAGAATTACCTGCTCTCGTGGTACAACAAATTGATGTCTATTTCAGTGCTTTTCCCTCAAGCAGGGGACCATTTGGTGCTGACTGCATCGTTGCCATAGAACACTCTGGGACTCTTTTGTTTTGTTAGATCGTTTCAAACTGGCTCAACTACTTCGATAGTTCAATTGGCGCCTATGAAGCCGATGATATCAGTCGCTTCAGTTGACGTTTGAGTAATTCACTAGCCTACGGTTTACATTCGTATATCTCTGATCAGACTGGGTAGCTACATCCCACTGGTTTTGTAAAACTCGCATCGAATGGTATTGAGTTCACGCTGGGAATTACGATACTTCTAAATCCATTAGCACTTAAACTGCATTGGAGACAGAAAAGCTATTAAACACAAAATGTGATGGAGATCGTAAAAGCGGCAGGCGGTTTTCTGACTTGAGAAAATTTGTTCCCATCATCTGTTCGTCATCACCATCATCATCATCATTATCATCTCATGCATTTACCTCTAGTCTATTCATCAGATGATAAGCTTATTTTACAGAATGAACCCAATTCGAACGGACTTCGAAAATCCGTTCCAGTTCGGACTTTTCCCCTTTTTATGAATTCACAGAATCTAGCCGTACAGAGCTTTTCCAACTGCGCCATGAAATACGCAACCTATCGGTTTACCCGTCATGTTCCAACATGTCCACCCCTGTTCGTTTCCCAGTCTACCACCTGCTTCGTTAACCTTTGCACTGCGAACCATATTCCGTTCAGTCCATGATCCTTCTTCATGCACATTTCTCATGCATATTATTGATCAACAGTCCAGTACAACAGGGACATGGGGCGGGTTGGGGTGAGACGGCTGATTCTCCACATGAACATGCATTTCAAATGCCATTAAATGTTCATTTCATGTGTTGTATACTTAATGTCCCGCTCTTTGGTTGCGTAACTTCACCGTGAAACAACAAAACTGAACCCCCAAATGAATCATGTGAAGTGATGGTTAGAACTGTTCCAACGCAAAGAGATTACAGAAGCCGTGGAACTATACGATACAGTTTTACGACGCCTAATAAGAAGCCTTTGTTGTAGAACTATAAAATTCGATGTGGTTCAGCAAAGAACAAAGTGACTGGAAGAAAACTAATAGCTAATGAGCTTTCCTCGTAGATGTGATGTCATTCGCTTGATTTCTTCAGACAAACCAACCGCTACTTTTGTGGCCTTCCGCCTCTCTTTCTTTGCATCAAGAAGTTTCAGCCGCTTTGATTCCGAATCTGTGGGATTTTCAAGTACTACGATTTTAGCGCCCTCATAAAGACATTCTCACAGCTTCCATGTGGCAAACTGTTTTCATTCGATCATTCATTCTTCACATCCTCCCCGCCCCATTTCCATTTTTGCACCAATAAAACACAGGTTGGTCTCTGTCGCCCGGGTGATTTTGGAACGGACGTTTCTCATTTGAATTTGCACAAAACATTCGGTATTCCGCATGGTGGTGGTGGTCCAGGTGTCGGACCGGTTTGTGTGAAATCCCATCTGGCTCCATTCCTCCCTCAGCATGCATTGAGGCCAACTTGTCTAAGTGTGACCGATCACGGACCGGATCCGAATATGCGCACTTTCTGTTCCGCTCCGTTCGGTTCAGCCAGTATTTTACCGATTCCATGGGCATATATCAAACTATTGGGAAGGCAAGGTGAGTCGGAGGTGACCAAGCGTTTGCTTTTGTTTGTTCCGTTTCCAACTTAAAACTATTCTCGATCCGGAGCTGTTTTGTTTTTCATAAACGGAATCCAAACTACCCCGAGGAAGATAAGTGAAATTAGTATTCAGGTGTATCTGTTTATTCGTCAATCTAATCAGCTTTCTACTTGTTGATTGTGCCAAGGATATGGAACCTTAAATTTTATAATAATGCGCAATGAATGTTGTATTCGTATGCATTAAAGTGACCGGCTAGTCTTATTACCATACATTATTCGTCCTTTACTTACATTCGTTGAAGAGACACTAGATTTTGTGGAAAATGCTGAGGTCAATCGACAAGGGAATCGAAAGATAAAAGTAATGAAGGATATAGGTGTTATTTGAAAAATTCGAATGCACCAAATTCGTATCTGATGTTATAATGACCTCTGCTGTCACTTCGCCACTATCACTGATCTCTTTTTGCAATAGTAGTCATTGTCTTGCTCTGTGTTTGTGTGTGTATATGTAGTCCACTCTGTCCCTGTATCCATCACTGTGTTTTGAGAAAAGCATGGTCAAGCCAATCGATTGGTAATTATAGCTTGTGTAAACAGTCAGACGTTTTTTGACCAGTTTGGCTCCATCCTTGACAGAGTGGCACACCTTGTCACACGTTCTCCTATCCCTATTGACCATGGTTGTTCGTGTGATTCCTTCCACTGCATTGTAAATTGACTGGTTGATGCGGTTGACATGCTTGTTTGTTCGTCATCTGTTCTCGTCGTCGTCGTTCGATCTTGAGTGGCAATGTAACGGGTGAACTGAGAGTCTCCAAAATAGATGAAATCATTTAAATGTCCAGAAATGTGGTTACCTTTATTGTGTCGAAAATAAGGATCAGACACTTTGAATGGATTTAGTTATCCGAGCAACAGAATGATCACTATGAATGTCATTGACCAATTTTACTTTCTTTCATGTCTCAAGCCTAAGCATTCTCCCGTCGGGAAAATTGACGGGCTTGATCTTCGTGGTGGACTTGTATAAACTGGTATAGGGCGGAAGAACAATCACCGCAACTGTACATGAACAACTGGCCAACATTCAACGTTCATTGTGTTTTGCGGTGCTACTCACATTTGTGAGTAGTATGTTTGGATTGCGCAAATTAATGTTTCTCACAACGGTCAAAAATGATTTAAGATCTGTTAAAGCGAATTACTGTGTTCAAAATTGTAACTACAAAAAATGCGTACCTACAGTCGGACCGTTCCCCATTAGTTATCCTGCATACTAGTGGAAATTATGATAACCTGTTCGAAATGAGATATTTTGTCCTATGTACACCAGTTTATCGATACTCATACCGCTGTTCGTAATCAGCAACTCTTCTCGTCCCAGCACTGCTTCGTGGATATACAACTACAGTAATACAGAGATTGACCGAAATGTGGCCCCTAAATCTGTGGAGCATCTTATAAATATTCAAATTTGTAGTACGCGGGGTGCGTACTCCCACACCAGCCTGGTAAGCACACACCGAATCAGCTATCGGAATTTCTCAAAATCAAAGACGTAAGAGGAAAAACAGGAATAAAGTGGTTAGTTTATAACAAGATATCAGACAAAATAAATGATATATATGCGGGAGTATATCATATCTGAACGCATTAGGCAATCAGCTTCTGTGTCCTCTCAGCTACTGAAAAGACTATCCTCAAACGCCTTCAGTAGTCTATAAACGTTCCCAATGATCTTCTGAATTTTGCTTACAAGCCTAACAGATCCACCTTGGAAGCAGTATTCACCATTATTCATTCCATCACCAAGTCTTTGAACAACTCTGTTAAGTCTGCTCCGGGTGCTTTTCTTGACCGCTTTTCTGCATTTAATTCCGTTCCTCGATCAGAGTTGTTACAAAAACTAGAATCGCTTGAACGCCCCAAGCAGTTGATAGCTCGGCTATCCAACTATTTTACTGATAGAGCACAAACCACTACAACTTTTCCCATTAAGCTTTAGCCAAAACCCGCAATGCTTTAGCCAAAACTCGTAGTCCTTTAGCCTTAACGCACAAACTTTAGTCACACAGCAGTAGACAGGTCAGATCAAAACGTTTCCGAATATTCTAAAGTCAACGAATGTTGAGAAAAATTATTTTCTATAAATGTTGATGCTGCAAAGCTTGATTAAGAAATAAGGTGTAGGGTTTGCATGCTGCAGCACATGTTGATTGGAGAAGCTTTAACCGATGTGCCCGTATCGTTAAACCATTTGACACCGTTTGAGTTACTCCTAGGAGTAACTCAAACGATACATTGTTTGCAGTAACAAGTGAACTCTGTTCATCAAAAGGGGATACAAAATCCTGCTGAGGATAACAAAACGTTCATAAAAGTACACACTCATAACTATCATCAAATTACTAACGGTGCAACGTAAGTCATAATTACCACGGTCGAGGCTTGATTATTAACGGTTTTTGTCTCTAGCTTCTTGGTAAACGGTGTTCTGAAGGGGACTTTTTTGAGTAGTGTTTATTATCCTCGATCTTTTAATGTATCCATATGTCAAAAACATAATTCCTTTTCAGTAGATATAGGAAACGATAAGTATATACCGATTATTACGTTTCAGGGCTTGTGAATGCAAAGCAATGTACTATTTTCGTTACGTTTGAGATTTTTACTCCTAGGAGTATCGCATGTTATACAAAAACACTGAAGCTGTAAGAGATGTGTCAAATGGTTTAACGATACGGGCACATCGGTTAAAGCTTCTCCAATCAACATGTGCTGCAGCATGCAAACCCTACACCTTATTTCTTAATCAAGCTTTGCAGCATCAACATTTATAGAAAATAATTTTTCTCAACATTCGTTGACTTTAGAATATTCGGAAACGTTTTGATCTGACCTGTCTACTGCTGTGTGACTAAAGTTTGTGCGTTAAGGCTAAAGGACTACGAGTTTTGGCTAATGCTTGGTGGGAAAAGCTGTAGATTAAGGAAAGCTTCAGCTAAACCCTTAGTCAATAAATTCGGAGTTCTTCAAGGAGCTGTGCTAGCCCCATACTTATATTGCACTTATATTTTTGATATTCCTTGTGTTTCTCCTGCACATATTTTGAACTATGCAGATGATGTTGTGTCGTATCAACTCATTTCTTATTACTCCGACCAAAGCTCCTTCACCGTCAATCTTGATCAAATTCATTCATTCTCCTCCTCATCGAGGCTAAACCTGAACCCCAGTAAATATGTTGAGTATTTATATAGTTTTGCTCGCTCTCCATATCCGACAGACCCCACAGTGATTAATACCAATTATTTACCTTGGGTGAACTCCGTCAAATATATTGGTGTAACCATAGATAGCAATCTTTATTGGTCAACCTACATCCACAACTGCATTAGTAAATCGCGGCGCCTATCATTTCAAATTCGAAAGCTCAGGTATTTTGGCGCATCCCTGTCAGTTATTTCTAACATTTTTTTTCAGCGTATTTCCCCCATCTTCCTTTATTGTTCCCCATTCAATTTTCCTGGCTTACTTAAACAGGATTTCAAAGTCTTACGCCGCGGTCAAATTATTATTAGCCACGTCTCTTTAATTCCTGTGAATGAGTTGGCTTTGAAGCTTTCAGAGTATCACTTAACTTCCTATGTGAAATTTGCTGAGAGGATTCTCACAGATCCTAACTACCCATTGCAAACAGAACTGACACGTTATCGTTGTCATCATTCCACACACTCCCAATCCACCAAATTTCATTTCCATTTAACGCTTACCGAAATTTACCTATACTGCATCAAGCACGTTTACTCACAAAGAGAGGGTAATAAGTGAAATTTGTCTTAATTTTGAATTATCACATGTCCCTGTGTCTGCAAAAATTTTCTCACCGTTGATGGTGTACTCTGTGACGGTCGGTGAGTGTGATTTTTTA